AAGAAAGAGAAGAGAAGGAGAAGGAGAAGGAGAAGGAGAAGGAGAAGGAGAAGGAGAAGGAGAAGGAGAAGGAGAAGGAGAAGGAGAAGGAGAAGGAGAAGGAGAAGGAGAAGGAGAAAGAGAAGGAGAAGGAGAAGAAGAAGGAGAAGAAGAAGGAGAAAGAGAAAACTATAGTTTTAATATAGTTAGTAATAAAGTAAAAGGATAAAAAGGAAAAGAAAGAGTTTAAAAGTATATATATAAGTATAATTAATAAATTATATATAATAAACTAACTATTTATATAAGTTTTAATATTATTATAAATATAAAAAAGACAAAAATACTAGTAAAGAAGGAGAATAAGTTAAGTATAAATTAAATGTATAACTAACAAATTATATATTACTAATATTAATTTTATTTAATTTTTAAAAAAATTATAAAACTAAAAAAGAAAAAGTTAATAATAAAGAAAGAGAGAGTTAATACAAAAAAGGAAGAGAAGAAGAAACAAGTTATAGTTAGTAAGTATAATGTATAACTAACAAATTATACTAAGTTAATATAATGTTTCTCTTAATTTCTTAAATAGTTATAAAGTTAGAAAAGAAGAAGAAGAATAAAAGTAAGAGAAAAAGTAAAATATATAAAGAGTATTTAATTTTCTAAGTATACTAACTCTATTTTATTATTTAGAGTTAGTACTAGTACTTTTAAGTAAAAAGTATACTATTATAAAAGTAAAGATTCTAGTCTTTAGTAAGAAAACATACACAAAAAACTAGAAAGTTATAATAGAGTCTTTAAGTAAAAAGAATAAGAATATTCTTCTAAATTAGGTAAAGAGAATAGTCTTCTATATACTTAAGTATATAAAGTGTATAAAAAAGTATAAAGGTTCTTAAGAATCTACTTACTAAACTATAATAAATTAACTATACTATAGTAACTTAAGTAAGTTTGTTTGAATCTTATTTTTGACTATATTTATAATAATTGTTTATATAGAAAACTAGTACACAGTGTACTGTTACACTCTTATAACACATACATTCTAATATGTTCTGATTGGAAGGGCTCAGTCACATTAAAGTTGTATCATCCTCATGTTAGCAATCCTTTAATTATGTTATTATTACCTACACAATAGTCTTGGTTGCTCAACTCAGACTAGTTAGGTTCCAGACTCTAGTTCTGATTCACAAAGGTAAGACTCTAAGCTTTTAGACAGCTGGTTGATCAATACAAAGGGGACTTGAATCTAGAGTCTTAGATGGGTTGATACAAAGGAGACAGTAGTGGATTTGTTTATAAAGGACTAGTAGCTACAAAGGACTTATAATTTCTATAAATACTCTTATATAATTTGTACTTTCTAACAATCAAGTTACTCTCTACTGTGACTCTTAGTGTGTAGTTTGACAGTCTCCTCAGTTAACATTCTATCTTGCCTTGTCTTATTTTGTATTACCTTGTTTTAAAGTACAGCTTCATTGTTCTACACTACTCTTGTCTTGTTAATTGTCACCTTCAGAACTTGTACATTCTGCTCAGATCTACCTATTCTTTCTTACTCTTGACCCCTCTTAGCATCTGTACCTTACAGACTCAACTGACCTCTTCTACCTTAACTAGTACTTGAGATTGATAGTACATATTCTGTTACTCTAAATATAGTTTAAAGAGAATCTAGTATAAAACTAGAAGACAAACTGTAGAATTATATAGTATAACTTAGAGTCTACATTCTATCATTCCTCTAATTATATATAGTAAAGCTAGAACAGTTTATAACATTTATTTACAGATGACTAAAGAGCTGAACAACTTAGAGTTATAACTAATAATAATAAAGAACAAGTTTAATACTAAGATTATAACTCTTAAACAGAGTATTAACTTCTTAGTTATAATATTAAAAGTCTTTATAAATAGTAGAGTAGAAGAGTTAGAGTAGAGAATAGAATAGAGTAGAAAATAAGTAGTAAAATAGAAATTTTCAGTTGTGTTTTTATAAACAGAAAAACAGAAATATAAGAAAATAAGTAGATTAGAATAGAAAATAAATAGAATAAATAGGAAATTAGAGAGTTAAGAGGAATAGAATAGATAGATAGATATTTTTATAATTTATATATAAAACTAGTAGAATAGAATAGGAATAAGTAGAAAGGAATTATAATTTGTATAAAGGTTTATATAGTTTTAGAATATTGTATAGGATTTTACAATTTATTGTAAATAAGAAGGAATGTAACAGAAGATTAGAAGTATGTAAATATAAAATGTAACAAAGTATACAGAACTATAGTTGAATACAGTATTTACAGGATTTGTATAACAGTTAGGTGTTACTAGTAGAGAATCAATCCTTATGTTTTAGTTTTCTATATAAGACTAGGAGAGTATATTGAAAAATTGTACACTCTTAGATTAGGAGTCTGTAACTTCTGTACTTAGTTATACTTTAAGTATAGTATCTAAAGTATAGTTATCTAGCTTAAGTTAACAAAGTAATAAAGTCTAGAACAATACTAGTGAATTAAGTATACAAAAGTAACAAAGTTACTAATTCTGTAAAATCTAACATAAAGTATAAGAGGAACTACAGCTTTTGTAGAAAGTAAGAACATTTTGTACACAACTGTAAGACTGTAAGTAAGTATACTTAAAAGAGAAAGTATATAAGATTGAGGTAAAAGATTGTGTTAATAAGTAGAGGTTTTGTACTAGTAAATATAAAGAACTTCTCTTAATCCTTGTTTTAATAGTTATGTTATTATACTTCTTGTGTATCAAAATAGTCAGTTTAATTTAAAATAAGTAAAGCAAGACTCTTAAGGCTAAGATTATAACAAAAGACTACTCTAACACTCTAGAACAGAGGTACTACCCTTTATAGTAAGCTTTAAAATGTGAGTAAGGTTTTAGTAGGCTTGTTCCTTCAAGTGTTGTTACAGGCTCTAGTCAAACTCAACCCTCCATTCTAAATAGGAAAGAACTAACTATATGAAGTAGTGATTACATAAGCTTAATAAATAATTGAAAATAAGAAAGTCTGATTGTAACTACAACTAGTACTCTTTATTAAGTATAGTTAGAAAGAATACTAGAATAAGTTAGAGTAGTACTCTTAGAACTGTTACAAACAAAGAGTACCTAAGTCTTAATTCTAGCAGGACTCACACCTCAGTTTCAGGAGCATACCAAAATGTAAGTACATAGTCTAGACTAGCTAGAAAGAGTAACAGAAGTACTACTGAATAGGATTACTATTATATTAATAGAGTAGAAACTAGAATAAAGAATTAGGCATACAAATTACTCACTTTAGTTAGTAGTACACTTGTCTGAGTAAGAATGTACAAACTAGAAACAAAGCAAATATATATAATATACTAAATAAAGTAATAATACCTCTATTAATGGATTTAAGTTATTTACACTTTATATTTGTCTAGTTTGAATACTGTTTCCTGTCATATTGTAGGATCATAACATATGATCTCTGTTCTTGATTGTATATCCTTCTACAAGGTTTAACTTGCTAGCTGTCTACAGAATGCCTGTTAAATACAACAAAATGTTTTAACAAGTATAACAGGAGTGCTCTAAGTACTCTCTCTTATTAAGACATTAAGCAAGTGTTTACCTTATATACTACATAGTAAAGTCTGATAGTCTGAGACATTCCAAGTGTAGTAATTCTATATAAGGCAATTAGGGATTTCCTAATCTAGAGCACAATCTAATACTCCCCTTCAAGCATTAATTAAGAACTAAGACTGTATTCCTAATAGTTTGTTTAGATACTTAATCTGTAGGACATAGAGAGCCTTTGTAAGGATGTCTGCTAATTGGTTCTGTGATTGAACATAGTATACATTAATATAATTGTTTTGAATGTAACATCATACAAAGTCTTTTTATAAATCAAGATGTTTAGTACAAGTGTTGTATATTATTTTGTCAGACTTTACAGTCTTTATTACATCTTGATTATTACAATAAATTGTAATAGGTTTGGGGGGAGAGGGAGGTCTTAGGCTTGGTAGTCTAGCAGGAGGCAAAGGCATTCTACAAGAGTGAGTGTGTAGGGCACTCCTACTATGCTTGTTAAAAGGTTATGAGCCTTGGTGCCTATTGAATACTTCTAGACACTTGCTTGATGTCTCAATAAGAGAGAGTACTTGGGGTACTCCCACTATGCTTGTTAAAAAAATGGATCGTCAACATACAATTGAGTTAAAAGCATGTACGGCTATAGTAAACCCCCTTCCATCTCAATCATAATACTGAATGATGAGAGTCCGTAGACCCTTAGAGACAAATACTATAGAACCACTGTACTTCTCCATATACACCTCACCAGGTGCAACCCACTCCCGGCCAAAGAGTATAGGACGAAGATTAAATGAATGTCTATCTTGCTGTGACACATTATTATGCTGGTTGGACCTGTTTCCACGGAAAAGAGTATCTAATGAGAATGCGTAATAACGCACATCGCCGTGTATTTTGTTGACACTTGAGATGATACCACGTCCTGAGTGAGAGAGCACATGCACATCTTCGACACAGTATGGATGAGGCAGTGGGATCGAAATCGGTGCGTAGGTCCGGACAAGACTGAGAGACGGCGGTAGAAACGAGGAGGGGGAAGGACGTGATGTGAGTCGGTAAGTGAAAAGCGACAATCGTGTGCATGTATTTGTAGAGTTCTGTGGACCAGTGTTGGTGCCAGATGGTATGCTAAAGAGCTTAAGCATGACAGAGATCGTAGTCGTGTCGTCTCCACGCCACGTCGGCGTGCATGATACCAAGTGGGCAGAAATAACACATTCCGAACCTGTCGGTATAGGTGCCTTCAGCGTAAAACTGTGTAGGTCTGATTGTATTGAAAGAGTGAAATCGAGTCTGCCACGCGGAGCGATTGGGATTCGCGGTGCTCGCGGCCCCGAAAATATTCGCTGTGCGTCAAGTGCAAAGAGTGTGAACTCATTAGAGTGAGACGCTTTGCCGATGAAAGTGAAGTAGTTGTCAACGACCGATATTGTGTCCCGGAGTATGTCAACTTCCCGCTATACAGATGAGTTATTCACAAGTCATAATAGCAAATTCCAGAAGGACACGTACCAATGCAAAGCACCTGTCCAGCTGCCTGTTTGCTATGACACAATAAGATCCACTCAAAATTATAGCATCTCCGCATATTCTAACCAGCGATGGTATTTCCCAACCGACATTCCTTGCCCTGAGTTGCGTCGAACGTCTTGAATTAGGATTAAACCATGCTAATTCTAGGAAACTGAAGGAGTCAATTATTGAGCCCTTGCGAATAAACCCTACACGACAGGGATTGCTCACCATGGTTCATTAAGGTAGATTGACTCGAGATGTCTCCCTACAATGACATACAGGACCTGTTCACTCTGTACATCAAACTGCACGTCAAATGCGAGTACTTGGATCTCCACGAATGTTCCGAGTTGAGGATAGGTCCACACAGCCTTGTTTTCCTCGGTGTCCCAACACTGAAGATAACCGGCGGACCATAACATGAAAACGTATCTTCCACCAGGGAGGATCTTTATGATTTCGCGATGCTGATCCGGACGTCGTCGTAGGTCACCCAGAAGCCCACTCGTGTTTCTCGGATCAATACTTCTTAGCCTTGTAACATGCGGTGCTAGACGAGAGTCTGACTTTGACAGTGAAGAGCTGGTCTGATTCCAGTTGGTGTATCCTCGAACGGCACGTGTTACGAGTTGCTTCAGCTCTGTAGACGATAGGGCATTGGTCGGCAGAGATGGCGGTAGATCTGGCGCATGGACGTCATCCAGCGACTGGATGAGATACAGCCACAAAGGTCGATTCGGAGCGGAAAGGAGGGAACGCATCGACCTGCATGTCTACTTAAGGAAAATTGAAGTTGTAGATTAATATTGTCAGCAAGCAATGAGTGATGTAAAGACCCACCGACTCAAGTGCAAGCACATCGCCAAGCGTGCATTCGAACAAAATCTTGATCAGAACGTCATCGTTGAGCTCTGTAAATCTCAAAGGCATCTTGGGGGTGTTATCACTGTCCTTGGCCTAAGTACTAGTGTGGTACGAAGGAGGGAAAACGTCGGGGCAATGATGTAACGGTGCGGTGTCATCAAGTCTCACGCCTCACTTTCAAAATTTATGATAACAAGATAATTAGAAGGAAAAGCGGAAAGGAACCCTATGATGACAAAAAGCAAGGAAGACGGTCCAGAGGATTACCTTCCAAGGGGACACAAGCAGGCATTACAGCAAAGTACCATGCGTTCCGATGAAGGAGCCGGGTTGGATGCAGATTGCAAAACCATATGCGAGATGACATATTGATCAAGATCCAAAACGGATCTTGATATCAATACTGTCAACCAAATTGCACTATTCCAGCCGCCACTAACTCCGTTGCGTTGTTCCTCTTAATCCAGACAGATCATTATTAGTTATTCATAGACATAGAATTATATATCGCAGAATATAAATGTGCACGGGAGACCTGCATTCGTAGGTTAGGTAACCATATATCTGCATCGTTAAATTCCAATGCACACAAATAGAAGAACTGCTATTGTTGCTGGCATTAAGAGCTAGTGGAACTGTAAAGGGGGTGGGGAGAATGAGACCAAAAGTACTTGTTGTGTCACATGACCGGCGACGGACTTGCTGCCCAATTGAGCCGAGCGAGATCTAACTTTGCTTGCGCATACCTTGCAAAAATCTCATCGTCTCTTGCCATACTCACGGCATTGAGCATTGTCTTTTGCGCCACGAAGGGAATTGCTCCATTAAGCCGTGATGCGCGGCTACCGAGGCCTCTGCAAAGCAAACAGTGGGAGATCGATAAAAGAGGGCATTAAGATGTGGTAGGTGAGTCTATTCAAAATCTGCTCCTACATTACCACTGCTCGCCATCTAATCTACTGATACGCCATGGCGGAGCCAATGAAAAGAAATCTCTCAACCCAAACAGATGTCTCAACAACTTCCCTTGATTCACGTACGAGTCATGGGTGGATGGATCCAAAGGCGTATTCAACGCCATTTGACCAAATCGCAGTGGGAGACATAATAATATCAAAGACACGTGGCTTGGTAGAACATAATAAGAGAATTAATTTCAAAGTCACTTATACAGGCGGAAATGCTGACGAAATCGAACATAAGCATGTTGTAGTAGAAAAGGACGAAGGAAGACAGACCCTCAAGACGGTCATGCTGACCAGCTTTGCTTGCTGTCAACGCCATGATGACGTGAGGAACAGACCTGCTTTGAAAAACTTACCCACAGAAGAAGTAATTAGGCGTCTTGACCCATTTCGTCCCCTGATTGAAGAGCATCACAAAGACAAAGGAGGCCCGACTTTTCACAACTATGATCTGAAGTTGGAATACGAGGATGGCTCTAAGACGTTGGAATACGCGCATTGGGCCAATATCACAATACTGTTTGTAATCCAACCGTACAACGGACCTGTGAACGCTCGCTACAAAATTTTTCCTGGTGAGGTGCGGGATATTCTCTTCTCAACTGGTCGGGATAAACACTTACCTGCAACAGTTTGCGCGTGTAAGCGATGTTAGGATCAAATCAACAAAACGGCTCAAGGCATTTGTAAAAGAAAAGATGAAGGAATACCGAGAATCCGAGCTGAGCGGCATCACTCCAGGTGCCATTACCGAAGAGAAATACCCGAGTCTTAAGCCTAGTGAGAGCCAGACCCCAGCTTCAGGGATAGTCACACCTGCACCCCAGTCTACGACCCCACGGACCTGGTCGGTCGTTGCTAGCAAGGGTCCTGATTCTACTTTAACTGAAGCTGATCAACTTTCACAGCGCATTAGCAAGTTGATGGATGCGAGCGGTGATGTCCTGGGAACTGAGGACCCTAGCCGTGTAGCGAATCAGAGGAAACAGCGCTATGCAAAGACATCTGCTCAAGGTAGAAGTAGTCCCCATAAGCGAGAATCCACAGATCCTCGAACGTCTTCTGGTCCTGGACACAGGGAAAGTGTAAGTTCAGGCATTCCAGGTGGAAATTCTTGGGCGAAAATTGCCAGCTTCGACGATAGCAAAAAGAGGAATACAGTCATTAGTGGCAGTATTTTAGAAGATCCGAAAGGCATGACCAAAGAACCCGAAACTATCCCTGGAGACACCTCAGCACCTTCTCCTAGAGGAACCTTCCCTCGAGGACATGGCCGCGCCAGTTATGCTAGTATGGCTAACAGGGGACGTGACGGACGTCACAGTAGTACTAGCTCTATGAAAGAAAGTAGTGCCTCTATTGGAGAAGGTGCTGGTAACCAAGGAGATCGTGGTCATGCGTCGAGAAGCGATACTCAGGACGAGGTAAAGAAAGAAGAAGACGAATGGCATACCGTTTCCCGCAAAAATTCTAATACTAGCAGTGGTCGCGCAAGAGGTCAAGAAGGTCGCCAAAGAAGGGGCACCAAACATGGAGGAAGGGCTGGTGGAGGTGGCGAAGGTAAGAGAGGCAATAGAGGCGGTCGTGGTAGTGACGGAAGAGGTACGGGCAGAGGAAAGGCTGGTCGAGGTTCAAGAAACTCAAGAGGATCATCCAGTCAATATTGATGACAGAAGGTACTATTTTAGGCAGCATAGTTAAAGAACTCCTTTTGGGAGAGCTGCAGATACCAATTCTCATTATTTGGATATAAATTACAAGTATCACTTTCTGTACTGATTTAATAGAAACGCAGAATAATTTTGTGGCTGTTTACATAGAGAACTATAAACGAATAGAATACACCTTTATTTAGGGACTAGCTTGGGCATCACCCATGGTTTTCCCCATCCGTACCACGGATGAAATCAAACCACGGATGGTTTTCCCACGGTTTGTGGTTCATCCGCGGATACTGTGCTACCGTTCAAATCCTGTAGTTACCATTTTTTCTTTTGTTAAATAAATTCCTTACACTACAAAATTACACAAAATTAAGTATATACTATCTAAGATAAACAATTACATGGGTATATAAGTAAAAAATATACATGAATATAATGTTTTTGCTTTTATTTTAATAAATAAAGGTGTAAAATAGAAGAATTATAAAAGATTTACATTTAATCTGTTCCATGCCTCCGTGCTTCAATAATTCCAATAGCATCCTTAATATTAGAGAAAAGGGGAGTTCCATCCCAAGATCCAACTGCCATCTGAGCTCTGAATGTGTCAGAAGAGGTGTTGTGTTGCATGAAATTAA